ATATTACTATTCGTATCCGCTTCACTAACTTGCCGAATGTCGCAAGGACAAATTGCAAGTGCAATTTAGAGTTATAAAGAAAAAGGGAAAAAAAAGAAGAACTTCATAAAAAAAGAACTTAGAAACCAAAGAACTTAAAAACTGAACTGACGAAGAACCTTATAATCTACGGACTATAGAATCTAGAAATTTGAATCCTAAAAGGAACATAACGTACCTAGGAACGTGAAATATGAAATCTAATTTAGAATGAAAACATAATTCGAGTGTTTTTAATAAAAAGAAGAATAAAATAATTAAAACTTGAACTTTATTCAAAAATCATTACAGTTGAAGATTCGAAGGAATATGTTTACTCGCTTCCCAAACCGCAAACCGAGTTATTAATTATATACTACTCATCACGAAAACCTCTAACAAAACATCCATCTACCTCTGTAATAGTTTCTAGCTTACCATGGCACACATAATTGACTATCACAATACGTCAATTAAACTCTGCGAACATGTTCACGGCTTCTACAATTTCTGCAACGTAATCTTGGCCATATTCTTGCTAACCAAAATCTACCCTATGAAAATCTACCTAATCCTAACCTCAAACGCCACCTCATGCTTCTATTTAGAAAATGCTTACGAAGAAATTATATTAATACCTAGGAAGTTTAAACAATAAAAACGTTAATGTTTTGAAAATATACGACAGGAAATTTTCAAGAGTAAACAAGAAAAATTGAAAAAAGAATCAAACTACGAGTACTTAAGTATTCAATTAAATCATTACGTCTGTCTTCAGATCTTTACTTCTTTCTCTGGAATTCTTCTATCAACGAACAGCAGAATCACCTTTGTCTTCGCGATTACTCTTGAACAATGGCCGACGACAATATTTCCGTGAACAGAAACGCATTGTTTACGGATTTATTGAATCCTTCGTATAAAGAGGCTCAAACATGAAAAACAAATGATTGAACAAGACAAAGAAGTAGAACAATTTGTGACTCAAGAAGGATTAACATGCAAAATGAAGGCAGAGGAGGAGGACGAAAGAGAAAATATACTTTTAATATACTTTGTTAGATGATATAAATTCACTTTTGGAATACTAGTATAGAGGACAGAGACTCTTTGTCTTAAGTTAAAAAAATAATATTCCATGTCATTTCGACTTTCAAATCCAACGATATTTATGAAATTAATCTTAACACAAATAATGTATAAACAAATACTGCAATCAGTAAAAAGTAAAACACGAATAAACGAATTAATGATCCAATAAATAAAGTTATCTAGCAATACCAAGCTCTTGATTAGTTCAATCTCCTTGCTTAATTTTTCATTATGCATTTTAGTTCCCACAGTTTTTCTCAAATTTGCAAATTTTAATCTTGTTATAATGTTATAAAAATAATTGTTACTTTTATACGTGACAATTAGTTAAATACCTGAAATTTAAGAGTAATAAATAATAACTGAAAATTCTAGATTTTTTTTTACATCTTAAATCAAAATAAACATCTTAAAACTTTACATTTCTACTTACTTGCAACTATAACCTAACTTAACCGTAGAAATATAACGTTCTATCATGCTCTTCCATTTACGCTACACCTAACAGGTTTCACAAAATTCCTTTACGATTATTGCTGCAATTAGTTTTAAGGAAATTAAAACAGACCAGTATAATCAAATTATTTAGGACGCTCACGCTAATTTCAAAAACTTAACACAAGCTATATTCAGATACGATTCTTCGATATGTATCGATATCGATCCGGCCTTAATGTAACTTGTTGCGTACGCATCTTTGTTCTATTATGAAATCCAAATCAAGCATTCTTTGATTCATTTTTCCAATAAAATATTTTATATTGTATATAAACTATATGGACCGTTTATTTTGAAAGTGGTGTAAGTCCATTTTTGAAAAAAATGAGATATCACGTAATTCATGCTTAATTTAAAGTAAATTTTTTATGTATAACTAGTCCGTGTTTAATTTCTTAAAAATTTCCATGTTTTGTACAATTAAAAATTGGTCGGTAAATGAAATTGCATAATCATCGATTATGAAAGTGGTGTAAGTCCAATTAACAGAGGTAGGTGGCTTAGCAGATAGCAGATAGTGTTTAGCATATGCTTATAAATTTTACCTGATCACTTCTGGTGGAAACATTTTAGTATGTAAGAAGTTTTTCATTGATACTTTCCAAATATCTACTGGACGAATTGATCGTATCCTAAAAGCGCATGAGAATATTCCGAAAGACATGCGTGGAAAAATGGATGGCTCTTGCAGAAGAACTAGTGAGCTAGTAACGAATACAGTGATAGAACACATAAAAAGCTTTCCGGTATTTGAAAGTCACTATACTCAATCCCAAAATCCAGAACGGATGTTTTTAAATCCTGAATTGAACATAAGGAAAATGTATAATTTATACTTAGAAAAATGCAAGGAAAATAATTTGAGTTCAGTTAATGAATGGACATACAGGAAAATCTTTAAGCGAGATTTCAAGTTACACTTCCATTTGCCTCGTAAAGATACCTGTGCGAAATGCGATTTCTTTAAATTAATTAAGACAACAACTGATGACGAAGAAAAAACAATTTTTGTACCCCATACACTATTTTATATAAAACATCGATGAAGGACAAAGAATTTAAAACTATAAATTTATTACCTACACGTCCTGGAAGACGGCTAAAATTTGAAAAAATCGCCCTGGCGCCTTTGTGCCAAGATGCCAGGCCTATTACTTATGAAAAATATAAAGACATCAAGCAGTTATTACCTTATATACCTTCGGTGCATCATTCATATCTTGAAACACTGCCCCATGCAGAGCATAAGTAAATACTATCAATATCTTGTAATTTTAACAATGTAATTAGCGTCTAAAATTTAAAATACTACTTCTATTTTATATCGTGTCATTATTTGTAAACAAAATTGGATCAATATGAAGTATATTTTAAGTGATATTTGATTTTTCAAAATTGAAATTAAACGATTTTTACAATTGTCTAATTTTGAAAGTGGTGTAAATCCATTTGCAGCCCGTAACTATACATCAGTTTAGTAAAATACGCCTAAAACAAATTTATATAACCAAATTACATATTGATAAAACAGTAGAAACATTGCTAGACTTCATATAATTTGCCTAAATTTTTTAATTAACAGATATGTTAACCTTTAATTTTCTCGAAACAAGAGAAAATGGACTTACACCACTTTCAAAATAAACGGTCCATATTATAGTTTAAATTTTTTGTTCCATTTATACATTTACATTTAATAAATAAATATACATATTATGTAACCCACCAATTTGACTACTAACATAAGAACAAAAATATATTCAATAATAATATACATTATTATCATCTTCCAATAACAAAAACATTAAGAAGATATAAAAAGTATATCATATCGTTGCTAAATACTACGTCGATATAGAAATATGCAATTACATTTAATAGCGTGTTTACATTTCCTTTACAATCTAACACAGTTTGTAATCAAAGCAAATTTGACGATCTAGAAAATTAATGAAATAAAAACAATTCACTAATTCGTTTCTTACAATAACGTTCTTGATAGCGAGAAGTTATTATGAATGTTTCATTTTAATTTATTGATTACAAAATTATATTATAAATTATATAAAAGAAAAAGTAGGAATGAAAATTACATGTCGTATAGAGATATGACGAAATATCCCTATTCGCTCTACGTTACCTGTCATCAAGTACCATACAGTTTTATAGAAGCAGAGCCTTTCACTTCACTTTGATACTACAGTAAAACACCATATTATAAATAATTCAAGAATTTATAAATTCAAGAAACAGTAATATATTAAGAAATTTAAAAGCTTCAATTTAATATAGAAAACTTACCAGAAGTCAAATTATATCTAATATACATATCAAGTATACTAATGTTTTCATGAAATGTAGTAAATTTATCAGTAACACATACAAAATAACAATTAATTTACAACTATAATTTATTACGATGAATGTGGTATACAACATTAAATAAATTTTTTAAGTATAATGATAATAATACTGAAATTTTCATAATAATGAAAATAAAATTCAATGCAAGTTAGTTCGGTAACTTGCGTACAGTTCGTACGTATGTGTATTAAATGTATACCGTTTCTTTAAACTTGTTTTTTACAGAATGAAATTTATATTTTGATTCTAAAGCGTTCTTCCTATTTTTTGCATGAGATAACACAATATTCTTGTTACATTATTAGTACATCGATAACGTATCAATGAATCAATGACTTGATGTTAAAAATCAACTATGATTTAAATATATACAACATCGAACATCGTACGCAAGAACAGATCAAAGCACTTATTCAAAATAGATAGTAAAAAATTAATTTTAAATTGATCGCTAATTTATTGAAAAAATATTTTTCAAAATTTCGAATAGTATCTCATCTAATTTTTACATATTTTTTACCTGCTTCTATAAATTGGATTAAATGAAGTGAGTTAATTAATTACTCTAAATTTAACAAAAAAGAACAAAGTAAATATTTCAGCAGTTACTTATTATAAAATTATGTTTTAGAGAATATTACAATACATTTAAAAAGTAAAAAGAATTATTTTCATCCGATAATAAAATCAAGTTGTGAATTCATTTTGATAAATATAGCTATACATCGTAATATAATTATTAAGTATGTCTTGACCGTAAATACACCAACTGTTTTTAATATCTAATTTACAGCTAGATTATTTTAATACAGTATGCTAACATTTTTTATGACTGTGACTGAAATAATTAGAATAGTTAAATATAGTACTATCGTGTGTTTTAAACGATTGAATAATAATCAAGAAAGAGAACACTTTATAAAAATATTACAACAGAGAATCGATCATAATAATACACAGCATCTCTTTAAAATGTTTAATCATAGTTGAAGGTATAAATTCAATGAAGATTCGTAATCTGTACCTACTTTGATATCATTTTTCGCACAATAACTTGAAGATACGCAGCCATGGACACGAAACATACAACAGAAAAAAGTTAATAATTGTCACAGAGAAACACGACACATATACTTCACTCATCAATTTTCAACTGAACTATGCTGATTTTAACATCGACTAAAATACATAAATGCACATGGCGACCTCTACAACAGCGCATATAACGGTAAAAATGATCAATCGATAAAACAGGAATTCCAAAAATTTCACTTATCCTAACCATTAATAATAAAAAAAATTCGTTATTAGTATATAATTTCAATTATTTTATTGCAGTCTTATTTTTTAATATTTTAGAAAATTTATATTTTTTCTTGCATAAATATATAAATCAGCATTTATAATTGTTTTGTGCATTTTTAATCATGAATCTGAATGTGATTTATATTTTATA